TGAACCAACTCCTTGATTAGCGTTGTTCTTCTCATGGGACCTTTTAATTCAAACGCATTTTCTAATTTCTCCCATGCCTCTTTTGATGTGTTAGCCTTTTTTACATATATGAGTTGACCTTGTGTTATACTTATATTAATTAATGCAAGTGCCTTTGCATCTTTCCTTGTTTATTCTACCTCGTTCTGTTCCGTTTTCACTTCACAAGTGACAAGACTTGTTGAATCTCTATAGCAACCACCTACAAACATCTCCATAGCAACACCGATCTTCATTTATTTTCCCGCTTTAGAGCCCGGCAAAACCGGCGCCAAAACTTTCATCCAAAATGGACTCTTCGATATTGCCGGGAAACAGATGTCGCTGGCGTAGCTGTCGCTATAGTGGAGCTAATGGTGGCAACCCCTAACCCCAGATAACTTGGTTGTAGGGACTTCTAGGCTGGGAATGGAACGGCACCGATCCTAAGGCAGCAGGTCCGCATGGTGTGTGCTTAACCACGGTGTATGTGATCGTCATCGATCCGCAGGTAACTTACATTCACCGACGGTTTGTAATTTTTATTTTTCGAACTTGTATTTTGTTGAGCGTTCACTGCGGGGATTCGACACTAGATGAGATCATTATCTTCATCCTGGTTACCGGCCGAAGAATTAGAACGATTTGGAATTAGTATTTGAATTGAGATTGAAGAACTTGAAACGCGCGCGAAGACCCGCAGTGACGTAGACGTCGGGAGACGTCACGCATTATACGAAATCATTGACGAAATCAACTATTTATATCTAATTATCGAATTGTGCGTTTTATTAAACGAACGAATGCTCATTTGCTCCCCATTCCGAGAAATTCGTACTCATTTATTGTAATACACTCGCTTAGTTGATATACGATACGAATATAATGATACGAATTCAAGCATCAATTTGGTTGGAGTGGGGAGCATTCGTTTCATATCACGTACAGTAACTGTGATCAGATACAAATAGTTGATACTATTTGATATTGTGGCAAAACTGTTTTATTTTCAAAGTATTGATTATTTTACAATATCATTTTGAAAAGAAAAGTGTATAATTATTTAATAGTAAG